TACTTGGATCATGTGACATGCATGAATGGAGGGCAAGGGTGGCTCGCAGTGACTGCAGGACCTGGTGACACTCTCTACCCCCTCTTCCCCTGCCAGACCTTTCACRGCTGCCAGGTGCTCCTCCTCTGCAGGGCGGGGCCTGGAGGGAAGGGTTCCAGAGCTGGCGCTCCCCTGCCTTCCAACCCGACATCTAGATGCAGAAATCTGTGCCACCCAATAGTGTCATTTGAAGAGGTTGCCAATGTGGGCATCTCCAGGCAGGATGTACCTGCGGGGCTCCCCGGGACCCCTAGGCCTTCATCCTGTCCTCATCAACTACCAGCAAGCTCTAGATGAGACCAGACGCACCATCTGTTCCTAGTTCGGAGAGCTGATCCAGGCATTTACCTGCCCTAAACAGCCTCTGCCTTCTTYAGGTTGATGTCTCTGGCTGAGAGAAAAGTTCAAGTGGGAGCAGTAGATGCAAGAGGGGGGACCCTTACCTACCCCGTCCCATGATGGTCCACCAGGAATATGCAAAATAAATTTCACACTTTCAAAATCTAGAATTCCTAACACAAAGTTTGCTTTTTTAGTACAAGAAGTGGGTGTTGAATCACAGGGACACCTCAGTTTTAAAACGATGGGGACAATTCAAAACCTTTCCAGTCAGAGCCAGAGCATGTTTACACCAGCACCCAGGAATATCAGATCTTTGATAATCCCTTAATGAGGATGAGGTGACCTGTTCAACCGAATTGGAATTTGTTATTGTGATCAGTTATTTAAAATTTTTTTTATCTTTTTTGGCACTGATGGGATGAAACCCAGGGTCTCACACACAGCAGGCTCCACCACTGAGCCACCCCCCAGCTCTGACAAGATGCTTTTTACCAGAGCTCCCAGCCCATCACAGTAGTACACGTGGATAATCCCAACAACTCAGGAGGCTGAGACAGGAGGGCTCAAGTCAGCCTCAGCAACCTAACAAGGCCCTAAGCAAATTAGCCAAGCTCTGCCTCAAAATAAGAAAAGGCTGGGCCAGCAGCTCAGGAGGCTGAGACAGGAGGATTTTGAGTTCAAAGCTCAGCAAAATCAAGGCGCTAAGCAACTCAGTGAGACCCTGTCTCTAAATAACATATAAAATAGGGCTAGGGATGTGGCTCAGTGGTCAAGTGCCCCCGATTTCAATCCCAGTACCCCACACACATACCAAAGGCTAGGATGTGGCTCAATAACGAAAGGCCTTGGGTTCTTTCCCCAATACTAAAAAAGGACTCCCCAAACACCCTCTGTCCTATTGATGAAAACATTTAAGGAAGGATCTTTCTAGACTCAGAGCCAAGAGATCCGTGAAGTTGTCTTATACACAGCCCAGTGGGAAGTCCACCTGGGGCCGAGGCATGCTGTGTCATTTCTCAACAGTGGAAGATGAAGGGGGGGGCCCACCAGGAACCAGGAGAACCCCGGGCTGTCAAAACAAGCTGTGGTTTATTCATTACAAACTCTTAAGCTTCTGGGAGGAAGTCACCTCCGCTTGAAATCCTCAGCTCAGGAGCCCCTTGTTGCTCTATTACCCACATTTATTAAAATTCTTCAAGCAATTGATGATAAAAATCCCAGCCAACTGTGTGTGTGTGTGTGTGCGCATGTGTGTTGGGGGGCGGGGATGGGGAGAGGAGGAAGAGAGCCGCAGAGACAGACAGACAAAAAGATAGGGGAAAAACAATGAGTGAGTCTATTTGAAATCATTTTGAATTTTAATCATAGCAAATGTGTTTTAACAGTAGTCATAAAATCAACATTAGCACATATACAAAGGACAAGACACCAGTTTGGCATACAAAAATACCATATATTAAAATTGGATTCATTGGAAAAACTCAGGACTGGCTAAGACACCATCTATAACAGAGAGAGCAAGCAAGAATGCTTTTAAGACATTCAGATTTATCAACAGCAGCTTGATATCCCCTTTACGAAGTCAATATTTGGCAACATTTGGACAATATTTTCTACGTGGCCCAGCAGCTCATTCATCTGTAGGGCGATTTG